GCTGGCAGGCTGAGTAGTCAGGTGAAGGGCCTCTGGGGTTCTGTCTCCTCCCATCCTTGCATCCCAATCAGCTCTAGGGAGGGTTTTGCCCTCACTTTCTGGAGAAGAAACCAAAGGCCCAGAGGATGAAGTCGCCCCACCAAGGTCACACAGGGGAGTCCTGTCTTACCGATATTTACCTCGCAGAAATTCAGCTCTACCCTCAGTCAAAAATCCTCAGGTCTCTCTTATTTAAACAAGCTGAGGAGGCGGCAGAGCCCCAGAGGGCTGGGGGTGTGGCCACATGTGGGAATGGTTTTTCAGGTTTGTCTGATAGCATTCTTCAGAGGCAAAAGGATGAGAATGATTAACCCCAAGAGGAAGAAAGTGAGGGATGATTCTGCTCAGAACTGCCTCATAGCAAGGTCTCCCTCAGAGTAAAAGCCGAAGTCCACCCCCTGGCCGGCGAGGCCCCACACAGTCTGCCCCGTCACCTAGATTCCCGCCTCCTCCATGTTCCTCACACAGATCAGGGGCATTCCTACCACAGGGCCTTTGCACTGGCTCTTCCTGACATTTGGAACTCTCTGATCCCAGACATCCCTCTAGCTCCCTCCCTCTTCTTTTTCAGATTTTTACACAAAAGTCACTTTTTCAGGAGCGCCTGAGTGGCTCAGTTGGTTAAGCATCTGACTCTCGAATTTGTCTCAGGTCATGATCTCAGGGTTGTGAGATGGCTCCATGCTAAGTATGGAGCCTGCTTAAGATTCTCTCCCTCTCCCTCTGCCCCTCCACCTCCCCCATCCTACCCCCCACCCCTGCTCATGTAAGCTCTCTCTAAAAAAAGTCACTTTTTCAATGAGAGGGTCCCTGACCACCCCATTTATTATTATTATTTTTTAGATTTATTTATTTGAGAGAGAGAGCAAGAGGGAGGGGCAGAGGGAGAGAGAATCCCAAGCAGATTCCACTCTCAGCACCCAGCCCAACGCAGGGCTGGATCTCATGACCCTGAGATCATGACCTGAGCTAAAACCAGGAGTCAGTTGTTTAACTGACTGAGCCACCCAGGCGCCCCCTGACCACCCCATTTAATACCAAAACAGCCCTCACTGCACGCACGCACCCCAACACACTCCATTCCATGTCCCTGCTGTAATTTTCTTTCAGCCCTTGTCACCACCAGACAAAATGTATTACTTATTCATCCACCTTCCCCATTGAAGGGCAGCTCAGTGTTGTCTGTATTGTCCACTTATTGAGCACCTGCTGCATACTAGGCTCTGTTGAGGCACTGGGAATGCAGTAGTGGACAGAAAGCACTCCACTCCTGGAGCTCCCGTCTTAGAGGGGGAGACAGGCACTAAACGAGATAAGCACACAATTGTGTGATAAGGAGACGGCAGTGACTGAGATAAGACAGAGAGGGAGGTAGAGGGTGATGGGGCTCTCAGAGGAGGTGACCTTTGATCTGTGGCCTGAACAGAAAGATGGAGCCAGTCTGTCTTTCTTTTTTTTTTTTTTTTAAAGATTTTATTTATTCATTTGAGACACAGAGATACAGAGAGAGAGAGAGCATGAGCAGTGGGGGAGGCAGAGGGAGAGGAAGAAACAGACTCCCCGCTGAGTCAGGAGCCCAATGTGGGGCTCGATCCCAGGACCCTGGGATCATGACCTGAGCCGAAGGCAGACGCTTAACCATCTGAGCCACCCAGCCGCCCCCCCCCTTTTTTTTTTTAAGATTTTATTTATTTGACAGAGAGAGTGAACACAAGCAGGTGGGGAGGGGCAGAAGGAGAGGGAAAAGCAGACTCCCTGCTGAGCAGGGAGCCCGATGTGGGGCTCGATCCCAGGACCCGGGGATCATGACCTGAGCGGAAGGCAGCCGCTTAACTGACTGAGCCCCCCAGGCGCCCTTGGAATCAGTCTTCTGACCATCACTTGGGGGAGGGACTGTTGTAGGCAGAGAGAGCTGTAGGTAGAAAAACAAGGCCCTGGGAAGGGACTGGGTGGTGGTGTTGGCTCAGCTGCCGGAGGCCTGTGTTCCCACAGGAACAGGCTGGAAATGGTGTTCAGGACGGCTGGTGAGGTCTTGGCACATACCTTGTATTCTCTTCCAAATAAGTGAGATGGGAGGGAAGAGAAGGAGGCCCTCACGTGCTCACGAGTTCGTTTGGCTGCGTGTGGGTTGGAACGGCCAGGGCAGGGCTGGGAGCAGGGAGACCAGGGGAAACTATTTTAGCCAGAGTGCGGGGTCCGGGAGAGTGCTTAGTGGAGGACAGGTTAGATTTGGGATCGTCTTGCAGTTGGAGCCCAAAGAAATTGCTTCATCGCGAGTCTTCCTGAGGAAATGTTACCGCCATTGATTCATGCCAAAACCCTTGTCTCTTCTACCACCTGGCATGATGGTGAAAAGCATGACGTCTGGAGCCAGTGCATGGGTCTGGGCTTAAAATCCCAGTGCCACTACTCACAAGCCAGCGTGACCTTGGGCAAGTGACTTAAACGTCACGTGCCTCAGTTTACCCCCCCCCAGTAAAATGGAGATAGTAAGAGGACCCAGCCCTATAAATGTTAGCTTTTATTTATTTCACACCCCCTATGCAATCCCTCGATAGATCTTGCATGAGCAGCTTTTCCACTGTGGTGGTTTGGGGGTTTGAATCTGCTAAGTCTGAGTTCTGACCTCTAGTTGGGGCAGTGGGGGCGGGCAGGGGAAGGGGGTGCCTGGGAGGCTACATGAGCCTCCTCATGCCTCCCCACCAGGCATTGACCTTATGGACATGGCTTCAGAAATCCTTCAGCCCCAAGGAGATGATGTGGCCCGCATCAGCTGGTACCTCCGGAGCCTCGTCAGCAGATACCAAGAGACCTTCAGCGTCATCGAGAAGGTTCTCTGGGGGGCTGGCAGGGCACCCCCCCCAACCCTGTCCATCCCTCCTGGACCAACCCTGACCCCACCCTTCCTGTTCCCTTGCAGTGCCCGAAGCCGGTGATCGCCGCCATCCATGGGGCCTGCGTTGGTGCGGGTGAGTCTGAGCTACCCACCATCCATCCGGGCACTCACTCTAGCTGCTGCTGCCTCCCCACCTCAACCAGTGACCTCTAGCCTCAGATCAGTTGCTAGTTAAACCCTGCCCAGAGGCGCAACCCCATCACCTGGGAGGAGGGGTCGGTCCTTGTGGTGGTTTGATGCGCCTGGCCTCCCCCTCGCAGGCGTGGACCTCATCACTGCTTGTGACATCCGGTACTGTGCCCAGGATGCTTTCTTCCAGGTGAAGGTGAGCCATCCTGAGCTGCTTCCTCGGATCCTGCTTAGAGGTGGGCGACGCATGGCAAGGCAGGGGCAGAGCGGCGACAGAGCAGGTTAAAGGGGTGGGGTGAGAGTGAGAAGGGAGGGCTTCATGGAAGTTAGTCAGAATTGAACCTTAAAAAGTAACACTTCGGGGGCCCCTGGGGAGCTCAGTTGGTTAAGCATCCAACTCTTGATTTTGGCTCAGGGTCATGAGATTGAGCTCCATGCATTGGGCTCCACAGTCAGTGGGGAGTCTGCTGGGGATTCTCCCTCTCCCTCTGCCCTTCCCCCTGCTCTCTCTCTCTCAAATAAATAAATAAATCTTAAAAACAAAAAAAAAAACAAAAAACCAAGGTAACACTTGGGCCATGAAGGAAGTCGAGGGTAGGCCATTGCAATCCATGTGGGGTTTGGAGTGAGTAAAGGTATGGGGGTGAGGAGGAGGCTGGGGTTGCTGCTGGGATCAGTGCTGGAGAGGACCCGAGGCAGGATGGGGCAGGGGGTCAGATGGGCAGGGTTTGAGGACTTCCCTCTGCAGATAGATGTGACCAACCTCGACGAGTTGGCAAGGCAGAGGAATTGGGAGGTGGGCTGTGTTCTAGGCGGAAGGAACCAAGGACTGACATGATGGCTCCTCCCAGGAGGTGGACATAGGTTTGGCGGCTGATGTGGGAACGCTGCAGCGACTGCCCAAAGTCATCGGAAACCAGAGGTGGGTGGAGGAGCCCGGGAGGGGACCGCAGGGCATCTCCTGGACCCAGGATGACTGCGGTCCCCTGATCCGCCCTGCCCTCTTGCAGCCTGGTCAACGAGCTGGCCTTCACTTCCCGCAGAATGATGGCTGATGAGGCCCTGAGCAGTGGGCTGGTCAGGTAGGAGCCGCGGCCTGTGCGGGTTAAGAGCTCAGGGGCAACCTGGGCAGGGCCCTTTGGGTCCGGGTGTATCCTCGCAGCGTTACAGGGGGGCTTACTTTCTCTGGGTGGTCAGTTCTTCAGGCTGCAGTCCAGTGCCCTGCTCTGATTGGTTCATTTCACTGGGCGGTTTTCTGCTTTCTGCTGTGATTGGCCACTTTCTCCTCCGTGGGCGAGACTCCCTCGCACACTGCCGCCTCCCCGCCCTCCCCAGTGACTGGTTCCCTTCATCCGCAGCCGGGTGTTCCCAGACAAGGTGGGCATGCTTGATGCGGCCTTCACCCTGGCGGCCGAGATTTCCACCAAGAGCCCCGTGGCAGTGCAGGGCACCAAGATCAACCTGGTCTACTCCCGCAATCATTCGGTGGCCGACGGCCTCAACTACACGGTAAGGCTCTGTGGCCAGCCAACCACAGCCCTTTTCTGATCCCAGAGAGGCCAATCAGAGCCCAGCAACCTGCTGCAGGCCTTGTCCTCTGATTGGTGCACTGCTGTCTCTTCCCTGTTTTTCATTGGCCCAACTCCAATCTTTCCCCGCCCCTGCCATTACACTCCACCCTCTTTATCCAGGCCACCTGGAACATGAGCATGCTGCAAACCCAGGACATTGTTAAGTCCGTCCAGGCTGCCATGGAGAAGCAGGAACTGAAGAACGTCACCTTCTCCAAGCTCTGAGAGCTGCCGAGGCCCAGGGCCTGGCCTTGTCGCAGCTCATGCCCATTTCCTCATCCACAGAGAAGATGAATTAGTAAAGATGGTCGCCTGGTGGCTTCTCCCTTGGTCTCCCCCGTTTCTAACCTTATAACCCTGATTTCCTCATGCCCAGGGCCTTATCTTCACCCGAACAATAAAGCAACTTAATGCACGCGGTGTCTTTATTGGAAAGAAAGGAGAGGCAGAAAGGAGCTAGGACATCCTTGAGGGCTCCCAGGACTGCCTGCTGTGCTGAAGGTTGGGGATGGAAATTTGACCAATGGGAACTGGAGCCGTGCAGGCGCTGCTCATTCAGAGCTGGCGGTAGACAGGCCAGGGCCCATAAAAAGTCTGGCAGGCTTGAGCAAGCAAAAGTCATGTGGCTTCCTCTGGGCTGGAAAGCTCCAGATGGTCTCCCTGCCTGCTCCAGGCTTGAGGGCGGTGTTCACTCTACCAGGCACCCACTCACTGCACAGCCTAGTGGGATCTGATGCCCCAGTCTGGCTTGAGTTCAATTGCTACCCAATCTTGGGCCAACTGCTTCATTTTATTTTATTTTATTTTTTATTTTAAGTAGGCTCCAGCCTCAAGGTGGGGCTTGAACTCACCACCCTGAGGTTAAGGGGTCCCATGCTCTACCAACTGAGCCAGCCAGGTACCCCTGCCTCATTTCTTTTAAACTTCAGGTTTTCATGTCCACATATAATCCCAACCTCCTGGGTTTATGTTTGGAATGAGTGCCAGAGGCCAAGGATGAATTTAGTGCCTTCTCTTCTCCAAGTCCTGTTCTGAGCATTTATTATCTTAGTGATTCCTTCCCAGGCTTCTATGAGGTTGATACTATTAAAATCCCCATTTTACAGATGGGCAAAGGGGGAAATTGAGGTTAAGGCCCTGAGCCAAGACAAAACAGCCAGGAAGTGGCCGAGGCAAGATTTGAACCCAGAACCTCTGGCTCCAGAAATCATGACTGAAACCACTATAGCTACAGTCTAATGTACATGGGTCGGGCACATAGTGGGCATGCAATAAATGTAGGCCCTCGGGGCGCCTGGGTGGCTCGGTCGTTAAGCCTCTGCCTTCGGCTCAGGTCATGATCCCAGGGTCCTGGGATCGAGCCCCGCATCAGGCTCCCTGCTCCGCGGGGAGCCTGCTTCTCCCTCTCCCACTGCCCCACTTGTGTTCCCGCTCTCGCTGTGTCTTTCTCTCTCTGTCAAAATAAATTAAAAAATAAAATAAATAAAATAAATAAATAAATGTAGGCCCTTTCCTAGTTCCTAGGGGTGTCCAGAGCACCCCGTTCCTCCCTGCTTTAATTTCCTTCCGTTGCCCATCTGTCATGGGCCACTCCTGCAGCCTTGCCCTGCCCAACTCTCCTGGTCTTATCCTCCCTCTGCTAACAAAGGTCTGGGTAGGCTTTTATGGGCTCTGATAAGGCCCTGGCAGGGCCAAAGTTCATTAGCACTTCCTCTTTGCAGAAGGGCCTAAAGTATCCCCCGCTCCGGCCTGATCTGGGTGTGTCTCCCCACCCCAACCCCCGGCCTAGCCCAGCTGATCTGGATTCTGGCTGGTGACCAGTGAGGCAAGAGAAGGGACACAAGGGGGTGCCCTAGAAAAAGATGTGAGCCTGGGATACCCAGAAGAGGGACCCCACAGACCCTGCCTAGCCAGCCACTCCCTTTTCCTCAGGTATAAGAGCCACCTGCCACCTGCCACCATTACCTGCTTTACATCTCTTCTCACTGGACAAGCCACCAGCCCAGCCTCTCAAGATGGCCTATATCCCTGCACCTGGCTACCAGCCCACTTACAATCCGGTAAGATGGTGACCCAGGACCTAACCGCAGGTCCCAGCTTAGCTCCACCCTGACCCCCCCACACACACCAATTTACTCTCACCCTGATCCTTGGAGGCGCCCACCCCACCCTGGAGTCTGATTTCACCAGTACTCACCCTGAAGCTTGATTTGCTCCTACCCTGACCCTCGGGCTATTTATGTCCATCCCTGACTCGTGGCCCTCTTCCCCTTCGCGCTGACCCCTCACCCCTGGTGTCCCCTCCCTCGCTAATGAGAGCGGGGGGCTTCTCGATGAGGGGTAAAGGCTTACCAGTCTCCTTCCACAGACTCTGCCCTACAACAAGCCCATCCCGGGTGGTCTCAGTGTGGGAATGTCTGTGTACATCCAAGGAGTGGCCAGCGAGCACATGAAGAGGTAAGGTACTCCCCGCATGCCAGGTGACGCTGGGGGGGGGGCCACAAAGAGGGGCTTCCATCCCTAATGCAGAAGGCCTTCTCCCCTTCCTCCACCGTGCTTGGGAAGTCGGCTCTGGGTCACTGTACCCAATAGCCAAAGACCATCCCGAGCCTGGGACGTCCAGGGCATGGTGACAGGAGGGGGGAGCCTGGGGGCTGGGGGGGGAAGGGCAGTCAGGGAGGCTCACCACCAGAGGCAGTCCAGGAGTTGGAATGTCGGATTGGAACTGCTGGTTGTGATAGCAAGAATTCAGATCACAGGCTCGGAGCCAGCCAGCTCTGTGACTGCCCAACTGTGTGACTGGGAAACCTCTCTGTGCTTTCTTTTCCCATCTGTAAGATGGGATTGCTTTGAGGATTCAGTGTGTAAAACATGTAGAACTGCAAAGGAAGCATTAAAATAAGTCTTAGCATTTTTTTATGGCCTTAAGATGGTGATGACAATTGAACTGACCTCAAGGCACTGTTGGGGTTTTTGTTTTGTTTCTTTTTTCTTTTTCTTTTCTTTTTTTTTTTTTTTTAAGATTTTATTTATTTGAGAGAGAAAGATAGAGCACAAGCAGGGGAAGGGGCAGAGGGAGAAGCAGATTCCCTGCTGAGCCCGGAGCCTGATGTGGGGCTTGATCCCAGGACCCTGGGATCATGACCTGAGCTGAAGGCAGATGCTTAACGACCGAGCCACCCAGCACCCTGGCGCTGTTGTTTCTTTATTCATCGTTTTTTTTTTGCTCACTGAATGCTCACTATGTGCCTAGCCACTGGGGACAGAGCAGTCCCCAGGACCAAGATCTCTGCTCACATGGAGCTGACATCCTAGTAGAAAGGAGAGATGAAAGATAAAAATCAAATATGCGGGGTCCAGTGGTGCTAAGTGCTATGGAGATAAATAAATAGGGAAAGGAGATGGGGAATGGATGTAGGGGGGAGAGGGGCATGGCATTGTCCCTTTAAATACGGTAGCCAGCTGGGGAAGGCCTCTCTGGGAAGGGAACACTTTCGCAAAGACCCAAAGGAGGGGAGGGAGGGAGCCTGGGAGTAGAGACTAGCAGCAAGAACAGCCGGTACAAAGGCCCTGAGGCAGGTGTGTGGTTGCCCAGTTAGAATAACTTCAGGGGTGCTGGCATGAGCGGAGGCCTGGGTGGTGCTCTGACTTGGCTGTTCATTGGGTCCCCCTGGCTGCAGGTGGGGAGTGGCCTGGGGGGGCAGGGTGGCAGCAGAGAGACCTGAACAGATATGTGTAAGGTTCCTAGGACAGTGTCTGGCCCATAGTGAACGAGGAAATGCAGGAGTCTCAGTTGCCAAGTTGGGAGAGGCTGGGGTGGTGGGGCGGGGGCGGGGTGGTGGCCTGGTAAGGAAAGGGAGAGAGGGAATGCGTTGCCAAGGGAATCTGCCTCCTGGACTTCAGGGGCCCTGCCCACCCCCTCCTCTCTAGTGCCAACAGTGGCCAAGTGTGTTGTCCCGTTTTGTCCTCATCCCCCAACCCCCTCCCGCCCAGTTCGGGGACGTGTTCCAGGACCTTGGAACAGGGTAGGTCAGGGAGGGCTTCCCGGAGGAGGGCCCCATGCGCGGGCAGGTGGGACCAGGGGGAACAGCCCTTCCTGTCCCGCCAGGTTCTCCGTGAACTTCGTGGCGGGGCAGTACGCGGGAGCGGACATTGCCTTGCACTTCAATCCCCGCTTTGATGGCTGGGACAAGGTGGTCTTCAACTCGCAACAGGGCGGCAAGTGGGGCAGCGAGGAGAAGAAGCGGAGCATGCCCTTCCGCAAGGGCGCGGCCTTCGAGCTGGTGTTCATGGTCCTGGCGGAGCACTACAAGGTCTGAACTCGGGGGCGGGGCCTCCCCTCCTCCCTCCCCCCTTCCTTTCTTCCATCTGTCCCTGCCCCTCCTCCCTCTCCCCACCACCCTTCCTACCTCACTTTTCTCTTTTCCTTCCTTTCTTCCTTCCTGCCTAGTAAAACATTTTTCTCCTAAAAAACATTCTTTTTCCTCTTGTTTCTCATTCCTATTCCTCCACGGGGGACAGCCTTCTAATGTTTCATGTGTCTCACCTTGTTCCTCTGTGTTCTTGCAAAATGCGTATTTTTGCTATTTTTTTTTTAAAGGTTTTATTTATTTATTTGGGAGAGAGAGAGCGCGCACACACGAGCAGGGGGGAGGGGCAGAGGGAGAGGGAGAAGCAGGCTCCCCGCTGAACAAGGAGCCGGATGGCTTGATCCTGGAACCCTGGCTGTGATCATGACCTGAAACACCCAGGCGCCCCTATTTTTGCTATTTCTTCTGGTGAACTCTGAGCACACACAGAAGGAAGAGGGGGCACAGCCACCCCCTGGTCTCCTTGGCCAGCTCCGGATCCCTCTGCTGTCACCCTTCCCTCACACTTCCCCTTGCATAGGATGTAAGAGCAAATCCCAGATATCATGTTATTCATAAATATCTCGAGTTTCAGGAGCACATGATGCCATTGCGCCACGGAAAACACTGACCGTTCTTCCTCAGCGCCCCCACATCCAGTCAGAGGTCCGGTCACCTCATAAATACCTTAACGTTTCTACACTTGGAACCAGGCCGTGGATAAGGCCCACATGTTGTGACTGATTACTATTATGCAAGCATTTTTTTTTTAATGTGTTATTGAAGAGTGCGGGTCATGTGTACCCAGCTCACTGGTTCTTCATAGAGAGAACACACCCGTGAAACCAGCACCTACGTCCAGAAACAAAAGCCCTCTAGCCCCAGAAGCCCCCTCGTGTCCCTTCCAGTCCCCTTGTCCCCAGGGGTGGCCTTTATCCTGACTTCTCTTGGCCTGGATCTGTTCCTGTGTCTTTATTTTAAATTATTATTATTTATTTTATTTTATTTTACTGCGTGGAGCCCAGAGCAGAGCTTGAACTCACAACCCTGAGATCGAGACTTGAGCTGAGGGGCGCCTGGATGGCTCAGTCGTTGAGCGTCTGCCTTCAGCTCAGGTCATGATCCCAGGGTCCTGGGATGGAGTCCCACATTGGGCTCTTTGCTCAGCGGGGAGTCTGCTTCTCCCTCTCCTCTGCCCCTGCCCATGCTTTCTCTATCTCTCTCTCTCTCTCTCTCAAAAATAAATAAAATCTTTAAAAAAAAAAAAAGATAATTAGGCAAGGCTCTACAGAGAATTTCCAGAAAGCCTTTGACATGCCTGGCTGGGTTTTAATGTTCCCAACAATCCCAGAGCCAGCCTCCATTTTACAGATGAGGAAACAGAGGCTCAGGGAGGGGAAGTGACTTCCCTGAAGTCAGACAGCCCACACGTCATCCCTGAGGTCAGACAGCCCACACGTCAGAGCTAGACTCAGGCCCAATTCATTTGGTGCCAAAACCAGGACTCAGACCAGATCCTCTCCGGATGGCTATCCTGACTAAATTCTCTGTTTTCTTCCATCCGCCGGTCTGTGAGCTGACTTTTGACCCTGGCTTGACCTCTGACCTGTGGACTCCAAGATTCCCCATTCTGTGGCTATCTAGCTCCCCTCCAAGACTGGAGTCCAAGTTAAAATGATCGTTGCTCCCTACTTTCTATGTCTGCCTTCCCAAGGTCCTGGGTGCTGACTCTGACCTTACCCCTGCCCCCCAGGTGGTGGTAAATGGAAATCCCTTCTACGAGTTCGGGCATCGGCTGCCCCTACAGATGGTCACTCACCTGCAAGTGGATGGGGACCTGGAGCTTCAATCAATCAACTTCATTGGTGGCAACCCGCCCCCAGGCCAGGTGCGTGGCATCTCCCTCTCTTGTATGCCCCGCTTCCTTCCTTAGTCCAGGCCCACATTCATCTGCGTCCCGAGCACGTGCTCTGTGCCAGGGGCTGCAGACCCAGAGGCAACCGACCCCGGCCACTGGGAAGACGTTTCACCAGATGGCGTTGGCTGCAAGCGGTCAGGGCAGGGATGGGAGACAGACCCGAGGTGTGGGGGGGCCAAGGGAAGGGCTTCCTGGAGGAGGAGGAAAGGCGTAAGCTGAGTCAGGAAGTCAAGATAAGAAGGGACAAAAGCCACAGGAACCACAGGCAAGTTCACAAGCAACTGCCTAACACGGCTAGTCACCAAGAAAGTCACTTCGAATCACAAGGAGCTGCCGTCCACACCCGCGGGAAGCGCTGTGCGGAGAAAAGCGCACAACAACAATTGTGGGCGAGCCTGGGGACCGGCCCACACTCCCCTGGAAATGGCCAGGAGCAGACACGCCCCCGGCGACCTAGAAGCCCCACCCCCAGGGCCACGGTGAATAAACAGCCACCAAAACAGCCACTGCAGCCCTAGACTCCCGCCGGGCGCTACACTTCCCAACCCGTCAGGCCCCTCACCTCCACGCTTGATGATCCTCGGGCCCATTGGACAGATGTGGGAACTGAGGCACAGAGAGCTTAAGTAACTTGCCCGAGGTCACGGAGCTGGTGAGTGGCCGGCGGGGGTCTGTGCCCAGATGAGGGACCGGCAGGAGTGGAATGTCTTCATCTGCGAGGGGCCACGGTCCTGCGGGTGTTCATTTTACCATGGTACTTCATCCATGCATTTGAACAAGAAAAACGACAATAAGGCTATTTTGGAAGGGCCTTCAGAATCGCTGGCTTAAAATGGAAGTCAAGGCAGAAAGGCGATCACTGGGAAGAGGAGGGAACCAAGAGAAGGAGTGGATATAACTTACGGGGGCGGGGGAAGCCTTCCAGCCCGCACCTGTGAGAAAGTGCGGACAAGAGAGACACAGAGACAAAGACAGGGAGAGACAGAGACTGAGAAACAGGAACAGAGACACATGCAGACTTGAGAGAACCCGAGGCCGGCAGGGGAGAGGCACGACTGCTCGGTGCCCCAGCGCTGGGCACCAAGAGTGAGGGCCAAATCCTGACTGGGGGTGAGGTGAGCAGGGGTATCTGTGGTGTGGGCTGGGAGGATGTTCTGAAGAGCGTCGACTTTATGGAAGCTTCCAGGTTGAGGGGGACGAGGGGGCGGATGAGGACTCCCGGACAGGAGGAAGCAGGATAAGGGAGGTAAATAGAATTTACCAGGCCTGCCCTAAAGGGGTGGAGTGTCACTGCTCACTGGAGTTCATGGCAAGTTCCTAAACATGGCAAGTTCTTCTCCACTCATAAGCCACCAGGTGCCACTCTTTGACCCCAGAGTTCCCTCGGACGGGGGTGGTGGGGCTGCCCTGGGCACGCATCCTTGACACCCTCCAGGCCCTAATTTGGGGTCTCCCTCATTGCCTGCCTGCCTTCACACATTGCCTTTTTGTCCACAGATACCCATGGGAACTCCAGCATACCCAGTAAGTACCTGCTGATGGGCGGTGGGTTTCTCCTTATGGTGGGGGTTTGGTGGCATGAGGAGGTCTTGGGGCAGCCCAAAGACCCCCAGCCCCCCTCACCATTTCTGCCTTCTATCCATCTGTCGGGTCCTGGACACACCCACCAACAGCCAAGTCAGCTGCCTGTAAGTGGGAGGGTTGTGGGGCCATTTGGTGGGGGGGAGGGGTGGAGAGAAGTGCGGGGGCCAAGGAGGTTGGGCCCCCAGTCATACCCATCCAGCACCCAGAGATATGCCTACATGTAGTCAGTGTGCCGTAAATATTTGTGGAATGTTATAGACGAATATCTCTCCTTCCTCACTTTGCAGACCATGGAGGGACCCCCAGTCTTCAACCCGGTAAAGTGTCCTGTGGGAGTTTAGGGCTCTGTGGCAGGCAGTTTGTGGGGAAGCAGGAACTGATGGTGGGTAGGGGGCCCTGACCACTGGGGCCCTGAGAGGGTGGGAAATAGAGTGGGCAGAGGTTGTTGGGTTGGGAGGTAGGGAGAGGATGGAGTTGGTGGCCGGAGTGGGGAGCGGATGGGGGTTGGGGACATTTCCTAGGAGTGGGCACCCCTCTCTGAAAATTTGTCCCTGCCTGGCCTCTGGTGACCTGAGAGATAATAGGACCTCATGTTCTCTTCCTACAGCCTGTGCCATTTAGGAAGAGATTGCAAGGAGGTCTTACAGCGCGAAGAACCGTCATAATCAAGGGCTCCATACCCCCCATGGGCAAGAGGTACACAATCTAGACTGAGGTGGGAATCCTCAGCACCCTTCCTCCCTCAGACCCAGGAGTCTGGGCCCCAATCCCCTTCTCCCTTGGAGAACCAGGCACTGACCCCCATCTGACTCCCACCTCCGGCCCTCTCTGCCTTCAGCTTTGTCATCAACTTCATGGTGGGATCCTCAGGGGACCTGGCTCTGCACATTAACCCTCGTCTGACTGAGGGTCTCGTAATTCGGAACAGCTATCTGAATGGTTCATGGGGATCCGAGGACAGGAAGATCTCCTACAACCCATTTGGTCCTGGGCAATTCTTTGATGTGAGTCTGGGGTCCCCTTCCCACCCCCCTTCCCTCCAAAGCCTCTGTCCTGGCCCTGGCCTCAAGCCTGCCCTCTCCCTGCAGCTGTCCATTCGCTGTGGCATAGATCGTTTCAAGGTTTACGCCAATGGCCAGCACCTCTTCGACTTTTCCCATCGCCTTTCGGCCTTCCAGAATGTGGACGTGCTGGAGATCCAGGGTGATATCACCTTGTCCTATGTCCAAGTCTGATCTATTCCCTGGGCCATAACTCTTGGGAACACAGAGTGAAAGATCCCACAGGACTCCCTTCTAAGCCCCTAATAAAATGCCTGTGCATGTCTCATGAGTGTCTGTGACTCCATTCACCTCCCTCACTGGTTCCTTCCTTCCTTGATTCGATCATACACTGTCCATTCAGCCATACAGTCAACTGTCCATCCATCCTCCCATCACAATAAATCTATGAATATCCCAGACACAGATCTTGGGATTTATGTGTATCAGCTTGTTCAGTCCTCACAAAAACACCAGGAGGTGGGAACTATTATTATTGTCCCTCTGGAAAAGATGAGGAAACAGGCAAATTAAAATAAAGTAAATTGCCCAAGGTCACACAGCCCATCAATGGCAGAACGAGGATTCAAATCAAGGTGGTCTGGCTACATACTTAATCGCTATACAGTCCGTTTTTCCATCCATCCATGCATCCGCCTCTCCATTCATCCATCTCAACATCCATCAATCTCTCTAAATATCCATCCAAGTATATGTTCATCCATCCATCTAAACATCCAACCAGGGGCACCTGGCCGGCTTGGTTGGTGAAGCAAGCAACCCTTGATCTCAGGGTTGTGAGTTTGAGCCCCACGTTGTGTAGAGATTACTTTAAAAATTTTTTTTAAATCTAAAACATAAAAAATTAAAAAAAAAAAATAAACATCCAACCATTCATCCACTTACCTGTCCGTCTAGCTCTCCACCTATCCAACTATTTGTCCACTCATTCACCAGCCAACCCTTCAACCATCCATCTGACCATCCAACCATTCAAATTTCTAACCATTGATTTATTTACTCATCTATCTGTCTATCCATTCAGCCATCCTTACACCCAACTCATGCATTCATCTCTTCATCCCTCCATTTGTCCATGCAATTCTCTGCCTTCCATCATATCCATCCATCAATCCATCCATCCATCCATCCATCCTCCATATGCCCGTTCATCCCACTGTTCGGCCATCCATTTCTTCATTCTCTATCCTGTCATCCATCCATCTCTTTAGGATCTATTCTTCCATCCATTTCCAACTGTTTGTCCATTCATTTATCATTTCATCTCTCCATCTGTCCACTAACCGTCTGCCATCCATCCAATTGTCTTCTTACCAAGTCAGTCTTGGTTGATTCAATCATGTGTTCATTTATTTACACTTTCATTCACCCATTCATACATTCCTTTATTCATTCACTCACTCATTCACATATCCATTATTCAGGCATTTTTCAATGTCCATTCATTCGTTCATTCATTCTGTTTATTGTCTCATTTATTCTTCTAATCTACTTCTCAAACTTGCCTGTACATTCCAATCATCTGGGGAGCTTTTAAAAAATATTGATACATGACCCCAATCCAGACCATTGTTAGTTAAACCATATGCATATGCCATTTTTTGTAGGGTAAAAGCCAATAATTTTGTATGTTCTAGCCTGGTAAATCAGTAGTGGGTCCTAGGCACCAATATTTTTCTTAAGCTCTCCAGATGAGAGAATCAAAGCGAGTTGACAAAGCGGTAGAACCACTTTGGCAAATACTGATCAAGGATGTTCTGTGGACCCTCAGACATGGGGTGGATGCTGGGGAGGTTGGGAATGGAAGAGGGCTGACCTGGGCAGCCTCCAGTCTGAGATGTTCTTTTCCTCCTTCTCGGCCACATGGGAGTGGAGACTACTTCTCCCTTTTGCTCCCCTCTCTCCCTGGGCAGTCACTGCCCAGGGTGACATGTCCCAGGGATAGCAGTGGAGAGGCAAATCAGTAGCAGAGCCTTGAGGGGCTCAGGGAGAGGGGCTGAGACTGGAGCTCCTCCTGGAAGAGCCGGAGAGGTCATGTTTAGTTTTCTATCGATGCTGCAACATGTTTGAAGAAATAATGGCTGCAAACTTACTAAAGCTCATGAAAGCCATTAATTTATAGATCCAAGAAGCTCAATGAACTGCAAGTAGGATAAACACAAAGAGAGCCACACCTAGACCCATCATAGACAAACTGCTGGAATAAAATAAAAGACAGAGAAGGCTTTGAAAGCAGGAAGTGAAAACAGCGCATCATGTAGAGGGGAACAGCAGTACAATTAACAGCTAACTTTTTGTAGAAACAGTGAAGATCAGAAAGCTGTTGAACGATTCAGTCAAAGTGCTGCTAAGAGAAAAATAAAACTGTCAACAAATAATTCTATATTCAACAAAACTGTATTTCAAAACAAAAGCAAAATAAAGACATTCCCAGATGAACAAAAGCTGAGAATTCATTGCTACCAGAGCTGCTGTCTAGGGAATGCTAAAGGAAGTCCTTCACGATGAAAGAAACTGACCTCAAGCAGAAACTCAAATCCACAGGAAGAAATAAAGAGCTCCAGGAATTATAAGTATGTAGATGAATATTTTTTAATTGTATAAATATATTTTTTCTGTTTACTTCTTTTGATTTCTCCCCCCCCCACCTTTTTTTTTTTAGTTTTTAGTTGTTATTTTGTTTTTCTTAGTAATCTCTACACCCAACATGGGGCTCGAGCTCATGACCCGAAGGTCAAGAGTTACATGCTCTCCTGACTGAGCCAGCCAGGTGCTCATCTTTTGATTTCTTTTAAAATATTTTATAAAGAAGATTATAACACTATATTGTCGAGTATATAGCATATCTGTATGTGATAATATTTGACAATAATAGCACACAGTGGAGTAGGAAATAGAGGTATATGGAGCAAAGCTGCTACATTTTACTGGAATTCAATCAGTATTAACTTAAACTTGACTGTGGTAATTGGGGCATCTGAGATTACTTAAAAATAAAATCTTCATTTTTTAAAAATAAAATCTTGGGTGCCTGGCTGGCTTAATTGGTTGGGTGTCTACCTTTGGCTCAGGTCATGATCCCAGGGTCCTGGGATCAAGTCCCTGAGCAGGGAGCCTGCTTCTCCCTCTGCCTGCTGCTTCCCCCACTTGTTCTCTCTCTCTCTCTCTCTCTGTGTCAAATAAATAAAATCTTTAAAAAATAATAATAAAATAAAATCTCTAAAAATAAACAAATAAAGTTGACTGTGATAAGTTAAGATATATATTGTAATCCCTAGAGTGACCACTTAAAAAACTACTTTCAAAAAAATACTGCTAAAAAAAATCAGTAGAGGAATTTAAACGATTCATTAAAAATTGTTTGACACAAAAGAAAGTAGTGAAGGATTAACAGAGAGCAAAACCAAATAGCAAACAAGTCAGCCGGAAAGGCAATTATCTCAATGATTACATCAAGTGTAAATGATATAAACATTCCAATCAAAAGGCAGAGACTGATGTCGTGGTCAGCCACCAAGGTGGCCTCCAATGGTGCTCACACCCTTGTGAACTCTCCTCCCAAGCTGTACCTGGGTTGCTGTGTGTGACTAGGAATATGGCAGAAAGTTATGTTCTAAGAGACACTCCAGCTTCTCTCACTCCTGGATCGCTCCTCTAGGAGGAGTCAAGATGCTCCTCCAACAGTCGTGTGTAATGGCCCATGTAATGAGAAACTGAAAACTGTTGCCAACAGCCAAGTGTGTGAGCCTCCCCAGAAGAGGCTCCTCTCATCCAAGTCAAGGCTTCCGCGCAGAGGTTGCAAACCTTTTCTGTAACGGCTGCATGGTGAATATGTTAGGCATTGGGGGTGATCTAGTCTCCACCACAACTGAACTCCACCGACCAAGCACAAAAGCAGCCATTGGGCAGGATGGACATGCAAGAGGCTCGCTGTGTTCCCATAAAACCTGAGTTATGGACACTGAGATTTGAATTCCATATACTTTTTAGTGGTAGGAAATACTCTCCTTTTTATTGTTTTCAGCTATTTATTTATTTATTTATTTATTTTAATTTTTTTAAGGTTTTATTTACTTATTTGTCAGAGAGAGAGAGCACAAGCAGAGGGAGAAGCAGGCTTCCCGCCGAGCAGGGAGCCCGATGCGGGACTCGATCCCGGGACTCCAGGATCATGACCTGAGCCAAAGGCAGTCGTTTAACCAACTGAGCCACCCAGGCGCCCCTGTTTTCAGCTATTTAAAAATGTACAACCTATTCTTAGCCTGGGAGCCATACTCAACGGGGCAATGAGTTGGTCTGGCCACAGCCGGAGTTTGCGAAAGCTTCTTTCTGATGATGGCAACTCCACAGATGGTTTGAGCGTAACTCCGTGGAAAATCAGAGCCACAACCACCTGGATCCTAACTTCAGAAACTGTGTAAGATCATAAAAATGTTATGGTGCTAAGTTATGGGGGTAATTGATTAGGAAGCAATCCATTAGTAACATACTGTCGGACTGAATTAGAAAGCAAGATCCAAGTAAATGCTGTCTATAAAAGACACACTTTAGATCTTAGACACCGATAAGTTGAAAGTAAAAGGATGAGAAAAGATATACCACGGGGGCGCCTGGCTGACCCTGTTCGAGGAGCATGGGACTCTTGATCTCGGGGTCATGAGTTTGAGCCCCACGTCAGGTATGGACAATGCTTAAATAAATAAATAAACTTAAGAAAAGATACACCATGCCAACAATAACCATAAGAGAGTAAGAAGGACAGCATTACTATCAGATGCAATAGATATTAAAAGAAATTGTAATAGGGGTGCCTGGGTGGCTCAGGTGGTTGAGCATCTAACTTAGTTTCAGCTCAGGTCATGATACCACAGTGGAGGGCTCCAGCCAGAGTCAGACTGCTACTCAGCAGTAGACTGGGAGTCTTCTTCAAATTCTCTCTCCCTCTCCCTCCCCCACTGCCTCTCCCCTGGCTCGTGTATGGACTTGTACGCCAACCCCCCCAGCCCAAATAAATAAATAAATAAAATATTTTAAAAAATAAAAATAATAAATTGTACAGAGGGGTGCCTGGCTGGCTCAAGTCAGTAGAGCATGTGACTTTTGATCTCAGGGTCATGAGTTCAAGCCCCATATTGGGCATGGAGCCTACTTAAAGAAATTGTACTAGAGACAAAGAAGGACATTTCATGGTGATAAAAGGGGCAATACATCAGATATATACACACATATACATATATAGTAAATATATGTATCAAATAAAAATGTATACTAACAACAGACCCCAAAACACATGACAAATAGACCACTGAGCAATTATAAGTTGCAATACCCCTCTTTCAGTAACTGATAGAACAACCAGACAGAAATTAGGAAGGATGGAAAAGACATAGACATGATCAACCAGTTTGAACTACAAGCTAACATTCCACCTAACAAAAGCAGAACATACACTATTTTCAAGTATACTTGGAAAATTCTCCAGAGTAGATCATAAAATAAGGCCATAAAAAAAGTTGTAATAAATTTACACAAATTGGAATCATACCTGTTCTCCAGACTTAATGGAATTAAGTTAGAAACCAACCATAAAAAAATTTAGGAAATCTCCAAAAATGTGGAAATTAAACAACACCCTTCTAGATGGCCCATGTGTTTAAAAAGAAATCAATAGGGCGCTTGGGTGGCTCAGTTGGTTAAGCAACTGCCTTCGGCTCAGGTCATGATCCTGGAGTCCCTGGATCGGGTCCCACGTCGGGCTCTCTGCTCGGCAGGGAGTCTGCTTCTCCCTCTGACCCTAACCTTTCTCATGTGCTCTCTCTCATTCTCTCTCTCTCAAATAAATAAATAAAATCTTAAAAAAAAAGAAAGAAAGAAATAGTGGGGCACCAGGGTGGCTCAGTCGCTTAAGCATCTGACTTTTGATTTGAGCTCAGGTCTTGATCTCAGGGTTCTGAGTTTAACCCAGCATCGGGCTCCATGCTGGGCGTGGAGCCTACTTAAAAAAAAAGTTGAAGTTTCATAAAATAAAAAAAATGTTTAAAAATTAACAGGGATGGGGGCGCCTGAGTGGCTCAGTTGGTTAAGCAACTGCCTTCGGCTCAGGTCATGATCCTGGAGTCCTTGGATCGAGTCCCGCATCGGGCTCCCTGCTCGGCAGGGAGTCTGCTTCTCCCTCTGACCCTCCCGACCCTCCCCCCTCTCATGCTCTCTCTCTGTCTCTCTCTCTCAAATAAATAAAAAAAATAAAAAAAAAAATCTTTAAAAAAAAATTAACAGGGATGGATCACACCATCTAATCCGAGGACCCCCACCACCTTTAAAGTGCCAGTAACTGCTCTTTCTTCAAACTGTATATGTTTGAAATTTGTTCCCTACCAATGTGTTATCGCTAAACAAATTTTTGTGTGTGTGTGGTTTTTTTTGAAAACAAAGATTTTTATTCACATACCTAAGTGGGCCTTCGCAGATTCACAAATTTTTGTTAATTACAACTAGTTGACACAGACCAATAAAAATAAATACTAAGTCATGCCAACAATGAGCACTGGGGAACTAGGGAATTCAGATTTTCTCCAGTCCGCAACTGCGAGAGGGGACCCTTCCTTACACGGCGCACCCAGACAGAGAGTCTCAAGGGCTCGGTAGTGGGGTGGTTTCCCCCAAAGGATCTCAAGGGGGAAGAAAATGGGTCTTGACAAGACTCAGACCCTACGCTCTGCTTCATGTGATGTCGGGAACAGTCCGAACTTACTGTGCATTTGCTTGTGAGGATAGCACGGGCCGAGTGGGCCAGGGAGGGGCAGGTCTGTCACCTTGGCGCAGGCTCTGGACGAGGCACATCTGGCTGGGGCGTGGCTCCGGACTGTCCCGAGCCTGGAACCCAAGCCCAACGCCCCGCACTGGAACGCAGTCGTTCCTCCCCCCGCCAAAGGAGCCTCTGTGTGATCTTCCCCGTGAACAACAAGCTGTTGCTAGCAGAGCCTGGCATTTTCAGTGCCCACCACCACGGTGGGGACAAGGAGTGCCTTTTCATCGACCTGATTTATGTCCCAAGGGAGGACGAGGTCAGCCCACTCAGTCTGCTGGCCCCCCCTCTTCTTCCCGTTCATGCGAAATGAATTCTGTAGCCACAAGATGCCGAGGGATGGCGGTGGCTTCCTGGGCAGGGGGAGCGGGGCTGGCTGTTTCTAGGGCTCGAGGACTCTTGATGGGGGTGGCGGTTGCTTGCATCTGTACGTTTGTCAAAACTCATCATCATTCTGTGACACCCTGCATATTTTAGGACAGAAGAGTATAGCTCAGGAAATAGGAAGAGTATTGAGAAGTGAACACATTCAGTACTTATTTGGAAATGAAAAAAATGCTCCAGAAAATATTCCAGAACTGCTATGAAGAATCTCAACACGGGAGAATAAGGAGCCTTCAAGGTTGCGCATCTCTGAGCTCTGAGAAATGAGCCGGCGACCACAGTGATAACAGATCGAATGCAAACACTGGGCCAAACACCAGAGTCGAGTTGGGACTTGCAGGCTGGCGGTGTGTGAAGAAATACCCAGCCACAAGGAAGAGCTCCGGAGAAGGATGAGTCGCTGGCAGCCATAGAACCAGACAGGGAGGCCGAGAGAGTGGACACCCTGCTCTGGGAGTAGCGGACCCATCATTCTGGGACCCGTTCAGAGGCTGGTGCTCCAGCCTCAGGCCCCCTGTCCCCTCTGATGGAAGTCCTGATGCCCAGCCCTGGGCCACCCCCGGGCCCCTGCCTAGCCCCGGGCGGCTGCCCTGCTATGTGGCCTTGACTGAGAGGCTGCCCCTTTCCAGACCTCAGTGTTCTCCTCTGCAAAATGGGGGTGCTTCAGCCAACACCCCCCCAGGCCAAATGCAACTGCCCAGCCTCCCTCTCGGAGGCCCTAGCTCCCAAACTGCGCCCCCACCTAGGTGCCTCGTGTGGTGGGGAGATGGAGAGTCTGGGAGGCCTGGGGGACAGTCCGGTGGTGGATCAGGTTCTGAGTCTGGGTGTCTTCACCCAAAGGTTCCATTCTCTTCTCTGCCCCAGGCCTCTTCCCCCTGAGGGGTGGGGCAGGAGTGGGCGCTGGGAGTGGGGTGGTGCAGGTGGGGAGGAGGGCTGCTGGGCTGCTAGGAGGGGTTTCTGCTCAGCTGCCTCACCCTGCCTCTTCCCTGCCTTCCAGAACCATCTTTCAGCATTCTCCCTCTGCTCCCCCGCTTTCCTATCTTGGATTCCTCTTCTGGAGTCTTGGGCTATGGGGGTTGGCAATGAGCCTGGGTGGAGGAGGGCCCCACGGTGCTCTCCTCCACCTGGGTCTGGGTGTGGGTGGGTCCTAGGACACCCCTCCCCCACCCTCCCTACACCTGAGAGCTAGCTGGGAGAGTGAAAGCAGTTCGGGGAGGTGGAACAGGACAGAGCTTTAGAGGAGAGAGGCAGACAGGGACACCTGGGAGAGAGAGAGGGAGCCAGAGGGCCTGGGAGAGGGACAAGGGCACTCACAGGAACAGAAGACACGAGACAGAAACTGCCCGAGAGGAGGGAAGGCAGAGCCCCAGTGACATGGGACCGCCAGCTTGGTGGCTTTGGGCCAAAGGCCTCCCCTCCCTGAGCCTCAGTGTCCTTGGCTGTAGAATGGGGGTGACCGACACCCCTGGCGGCTGGGCTCCAGCTGAGTGCACAGGGAGGTCTCTTGTGCGCAGGCCCGCCCAGAGGCCTCCGAAATGGCACGTGTTGGCATTTTCTATTCCTTCTTTCCCCCGCATTCTCGGAGGGCTTCCCGCGTGCCAGGCACTGCCCTAGGCTAGGGATGCAGTGCCGCCCACCAGGCGAACCTGCTGCCCCTCGGAGCCCCTCTCCTGCAGCTGCAGATGCTGCCAGGGTCGGGGGTCTGAACGGGCATGTCGGGGATTGCACCCTCAGCCCTGGGCCGCAGGTCCCAGCCTGGGAGGGAGGCCCGGACACCCAGCCCGCAGCGAGGCCTCTCGGGGCCGAGTCTCCCAAGATAAAATGGGAAAATCCTCTTTTCTCGCTGTCAGGCAGCAGGAAGACAGGACTGGATGGACCCTGGCTCCCCCAGTCCCCTCTGTTCCCCGTATTTCCTTAGGAACTGTTTTTAGGATTGTTAGCTCAAAGGAGAGGGGACAGCGCACCTGGGAACCCTCGGGAGTGGAGGGAAGGTACAGGCCCCAGAAAGAAGTTTCCGGGCCAGGTGGCCCCAGGGCCAGGGTCTGTGCCAGATGTGGGCGGTGGGTGTGGAAATGGGGGGGGGGGTGAGTCAGCTTGGCCTGCCACGCCCTGCTTTTATTTAAGGTCCCAGCAGCATCCACAGCAGCACCATTGCCCACTGTCCCAGCCATGGCAGGGAGTTCTGTGAGTGGGGCCCTGGGGCTGGGGGGTCTTGGACCCAAGGGTGCACCGGACTCGGGGAGGGGCTGGGCCTGCCTGATGTCCCCTATTTGAAAGGAGAAAGTGGGTGCTAGGGTGTGCTAGGAAATGTCTGGGCTGTGGCTCTTGGGTTGACCCAACCCAACCCAATGCTCCCATCTGCTCTTGGATTCTCTCTCTCTGTGTCTGTTGATTCTGTTTCTCTCCCCACCTCTGCCTGGCTCGGGCTCTCCTCTCTCTCCGTGGCCTTTCTTCTCAGTGATTCAGTTGGTCTGGGTCCTGGTCGTTTTCTCTCTGGGGCTGACCCATCTGTCTCTCTCCCCCGCGTCCCTGGGTCCCTTGGACCCCGCACCGCTGGTCCTGCAGAATGTGCCCCACAAGACCTCACTGCCTGAGGGCATCCGAGTCGGCACCGTGATGAGGATTCGTGGTGTCATTCCGAACAAGGCTGGCAGGTGAGACCCCAGGCCCCGGCGGTAAGGGTCGGACATGTGACCCCAACTTTTTCCAGCTCAGACGGGAGAGTGCCAGAGCCACCTATGTCCACCAGGGTCTTGGAGTCCCCAGGCCATCATTGACTTTCTGGAATCCCATGTCTTCACTTACTTGTCCCATGGCTGTGTACAAGCTGGGGTGTCCATGTGGCCCTAGGAACCTGGGGGTTCCAGGGCAATCTCAGGATTCCTGCCTATAGTCCTATGACTCCCAGTCTGAATCCCCAGGAGCTCTGGAAATATGTCCTGTGATCTGGAGGTGGCCTGGGCATCAGGGAAACCCAAGCAATCAGTCCTGAGACTTCCTGGGCCCGGGAACTGTAGGATTTCTGGGAATCTCTGGTGCCTGGAATAATGGGGTCTGTGGTATTGTTCCTAGCCCTCTAGGAATGGGGATACCCTGGGAATGGGGAGCACCCTGGCCATGGGCACCATGACTCATGGCAACTCTTATTAGAGGCTTTGGATATTGAGGGGACCCAAGCCATAGCAGCGTGACCCTCGTGTAGGTGGATGCGTCCAGGGTCCCTCTAAGTTTTTGGATGCCCTGGAATCTGGGTCCTGGCCACCAGTCCACAGCTCTCCTTCTGTCGTGTGTGACATTTCTGGTCTTTTAAACTTGTCTGTGCACTGCAACCCTGAGTCAGGCCCTTTGGCCCCTGAGGTCTATCTGAACCTCCTCCCCACCCCCAACCCCCAGGTTCTATGTGAATCTGCTGTGCAGCGAGGCCCCGGGGGGTGAGGCCGCCCTGCATTTCAATCCCCGCCTGGATGAGTCAGCTGTGGTCTTCAACACTCTGGAGCAGGGCACCTGGGGCCAAGAGGAGCGCGGCTCAGGCATTCCCTTCCAGCACGGGCATCCCTTCGATATGCTCCTCATTGCCACGGAAGAAGGCTTCAAGGTGGGTGCCTGCCACCCCCAGGCGTGGAAGCCAGGGAGCCTGTTGGTGGAGGAGGGGAGCAAAGGCGAGGCCATGCTGGGCAGGGGCTTCCAGCGTCCCCCTGCTCCCCCTGGTGCATCCCCACTGGTGCCCGAAGGCGGGGGTGCGGCAGCGACAAGGCCCAGCGCGCAAGAGCCAAGTGCCCAGAGGGTGCGGGTCCCCCGGCGGGGCGGCGGGGCCCCGGTTTTCTCCCCGACAGTGTGTGAGGCCGAGGCTCTGGGGCAGGGGCGGGGCGGGGCGGGAGACCGGCCCAGAAACACGCGCCAGCGGGCGGCGGGCGCGGCAGACCCTCCAGCGCCCAGGCCGTGCACCGCTGTCAGCAGCCTGAAAACGCACGTCGGGGCCACCGGTCAGCCCATGGAACGTCCCCGACGGGCGGATGGAACGATCCTGAGCCCATTTCGCCACCGGGGAGCTCGGGGCCCGGCGTGGTGAGGCCCGGGCGCGGTCCGAGTCGGGACGGACCCCCGCAGCGGCCTCACCCCCCGCCCCCGGTCCCCGCAGACGGTGGTCGGCGACTCCGAGTACCACCACTTCCGCTACCGGATCCCGCCGGCGCGCGTGCGCCTCGTGGAGGTGGGCGGGGACCTGCAGCTGGAGTCGGTGAAGATCTTCTGAGACCCCCGGGAGGGCCGGGGCGCCGGGGTCCCAGCAGTGGCAAATAAAGCTTCAGCCCCCGTCTGTGCGCCTCTGTGTGTCTGCGCCTCCCGCGGGGAGACGCGGAAAGCGGGTGCAGAGGGGCGAAGACGCTGGCCGAGGGTCCCACGGCGATTGCGCGGCCGCGGCGGGTCGGGCTGTGTCTTGGCTCGTCGTCCAGCCGCCCTTTGCCGAGCAGCCCGGCGGTGCGCGGGTGGGGGGACCCGATGGGTTCGGAGCGGGCTCGAGCTCCCCTTGGCGCCCCCCGCACGCAACAGCAGAGCTCCATGTGGGTGCATCTGCAAACGGGGGAGCGAGTCCCCACACGCCGGGTCCCCGGGAGAGCCCGAGCTGGCGGAGACGGGGCGAGGACCCGTGTGGGTGCCGGGAGCCGGCTGGCGCGGGGTGGGGCGTCGCCCGCCTCCCAGCTGTCCCCGAGTCGGGACAGGCCCCCGCCCGTGCGCCCCGGGGCAGACGCGCACGGGGGCGGCATCTCCCCGCGGAGCGGACGGGGGACACGACGATCAGGCCTCTGGGTCCCCGCTGCGGGCACGCGCCCCACTCCCACACGTCTTCCACCTGGGCTCATGGACGGCGCCGGCCCCCGGCTTCCTGCCCGAGTGCCAACGAGGGGGATCGGGGGACTGGGCACCCACACACAGACGCCCAGTTGCCCCCACCGCTACGCGGTGCCTTTCTGATCGGTAGGTGGCTGCTCGTCACTTAATGGCTGTGGTTGGAGAGAGGTCGTGACTCCGTGAGCGCGACACTCTTCAGTGGCCGTGTTCCTAATTTTGAGATGGATCGGGTCACTGCGGTTTGGGCCCTGGCGGGGAGTCTCAGGAAAGTCGGAAGCCACGCCCCTGGAGGGATTTGCTTGGGGTTCCGGGCCTGGGATCCCTGCGAGATGTAGGACACGTCGCCTCCCCGTGGCCTCTGCCGATGCTGCAATTTCGGCAGTTGGCGTGGGCGCGAGGGTGCATTATCTCGTTTTCCTCTGAAGATGCAAAATTATGTGTGACCTCGAAATCTGGGCGAATTCGAATCCTTCCAAGACTGAACTTTCTCTACACTTCCGAGCTTCAACCCAGAGAAGCCCCTCGTCATTCTGGGCTCTTCTTTGTATATTTCTGGGTGGGCCGTGGCATGAGGGGTCTTCCTCTCCCGGTGGGAGACCTGAGAGAGAAATCTAACATCCATTGCTATACCAGGGCTCTTTGTTAAATGAATTAATTTTTATTTCACTTGTCTGTGTCATGTACTTTTTGAACATTTAAAAAAAAAAATTGGGGGCGCCTGGGTGGCTCAGATGGTTAAGCGTCTGCCTTCGGCTCAGGTCATGATCTCAGGGTCCTGGGATCGAGTCCCGCATCGGGCTCCCTGCTCCTTGGGAGCCTGCTTCTCCCTCTGCCTTTCTCTCTCGCTCTGTCTCTCATGAATAAAAAATAAATAGATAAAATAAAAATAAAAAAATTTAAAAAAATTGTACCTACCCACAGGGTACAAATTTGGAAAAGGACAGTGAAAGGTAAGACAGTGTTGGCACAACTGGTAAACTAGGTTGGATGATAGTGATTCATCCGTGTTAATTTCCTGATTTTCACTTCTGTCTTACCGTGTATATTGTGGAGACTGTTCGTGTTTATACAAAATATTACTACATATTGAGAAAGTATTTGAAGGGCGCCTGGGTGGCTCAGTCGGTTAAGCGTCTGCCTTCCGGTCAGGTCCATGATCCCAGAGTCCTGGGATGGAGTCCCACTTTCCAGCTCCGGGCTCAGAGGGGAGCCTGCTTCTCCCTCTTCCTCTGCTGCGCCCCCTGCTTGTGCTCTCTATCTCCTTCTCTCACTCTCTGTCAAATAAAATCTTTTTTTTTAAACATTTAATATGCCTCAGCTTATCTCTTTAAAAAAAAAAAAGTTTATTTATTTGCCAGAGAGAGAAAGAGAGCACAAGCAGGGGGAGTTGTAGGCAGAGGGAGAAGCAGGCTCCCTGCTGAGCAAGGACCCTGGGATCTGGACCAGAGCTGAAGGCAGAGGCTTAACCAACTGAGCCACCCAGGCATCTCTAAATAAATAAAATAAGATAGAGAGAGAAGAAAAGAAAGAAAGAAAGAAAGAAAGAAAGAAAGAAAGAAAGAAAGAAAGAAAGAAAGAAAGAAAGAAAGAAAGAAAGAAAGAAAGAAAGAGAGAAAGAAAGGGAGAAAGAAAGAAAGAAAGGGAGAAAGAAAGAAAGGAGAAGAAAGAAAGAAAGGAGAAGAAAGAAAGAAAGAAAGGGAGAGAGAGAAAGGAAGGAAGGAAGAAAGGAAAAGAAAAGAAAAGAAGGAAGAAAAGAAAAGAAAAAGAAAGAAGAAAGAATTTGAAAGTGAAGAGGCAGCATGTTGGCAACTTACTCATAAGCAGCTCAGGAAAAATTAAACTTTGTGTTGTACTTAAAACTTCCTGTTTGTCATTTCAAATAAATATAGATAAACCATTTGAGTTCATTTTTGTGTATGTTGTGAAATTGGGGCTCAACTTTATTTTTTTGCACATGGATTTCCAGTTGAAAGGACTGTTCTTTCCTCATTGCATTGTCTTGACACACTCATCGATATTTAATTGATCATAGGTGTATGTATTTATTTCTGGACCTTCAATTCTATTCCATTTATCTACATGTCTGTCCTTATCCCAATATCACCGTCTTGATTACTGTGATTTTGAAATTGGAAACTTTGAGTCCTTTAACTTTTTTCTTTTTCAAAATTGTTTTGTATATTTTTCCAAATAAACTTCAGAATTACCTTGTCAGCTTCTCAAAAAAAAAAAAAAATCAGCTGTGATTTTGATAGGTATTGTATTGAAACGGTAGATTAATTTGGGGAGTATTGCCATCTTAACAATATAAAGTCTTTGAATCCATGAACATGGGATATCTTCCCATTTACTGAGATCTTCTTTAATTTCTTTCAATAATAGTTTGTAATTTTCAGTGTACAACAGTGCCTGTATCCATTTTATTGCTTCTCTAAGTCTCTAATTTATTTACTTTTGTGTTTATTTTTTTCCACCTATTTTGTTTTATTTAAAAACTTACATATGGGGCTCCTGGGTGGCTCAGTTGTTAGGCATCTGCCTTCAGCTCGGGTCATGATCCCAGGTCCCTGGGATCCTGCTTGGTGGGGAGCCTGCTTCTCCCTCTCCCACTCCCCCTGTTTGTGTTCCCTCTCTCGCTGTGTCTCTGTCAAATAAATAAATAAAATCTTTAAAAAAAAAACAAGCTTACATATATTTAGTTTACTGCTTCATGCTTTCTTATTTAATAACAAAATAATTTAAGTCTATTAACATATCTCTGAGTATAATATATTCTGACAATAGTGTTTTAATTATATGCATTGTTTTGTAGATAGTCTGTAATTATTCTCTCTTCACCTATGGAAGTTATAAGTGTTTTTAAATTTCTGAATTTTGTCAGATTTCTGCTTTTCTAATTTTTGCTAATTTCTAATTCTATTGCAATCACTATATGTGTTACGTCTCCTTTATATCTTATTACAATGTCTAATATTTCCAGAATGATAGTGAGGGTAGCCATATTGTCTTTTCCTGATTGTAATTGGAATTTATCTATTGTTAACAAATCCCTATACAATGCTTGTTCTTTTCTTTCTTTCTTTTTTTTTCCCTTTTTCTTTTTTAAAGTAATATCTGCACCCAACTTGGGCTCGAACTCATGGCCCCGAGATCAAGAGTCACATGTTCCACTGACTGAGCCAGCCAGGTGCCCCTGCTTATTTTATTATTTTTTTTTTATTTGAGATAGAGCACAGGCAAGCAGGGGAGGGGTAGAGGGAGAGGGAGAGAGAATCTTGAGCAGACTCCCTACTGAGCACGGAGCCTGGAGCCCACATGGGGCTCAATCTATCAACCCTGAGATCTTGACCTAAGCGGAAACCAAGAGCCAGCCACCCAACAGATTGAACCACCGGCGCCTCTGCTTGTTATTTTTAAAATTGAGTTTTTGTAAATGTTTGATAAATGCTTGAAAAAATATATATATAGCTATTAAATTAATCTTATTAATTTATACTATTCAAAACCTCTATTTTCAGCAAAGAAAAAGAAAACATTTTTCTTGAAAAGATGGATTGCAAGGGAGTTCAGGTTTTAGAAGGACTGGCTTGCCAAATGAAATATACAACACGCTTTCAAAAGAAAGCACACACAGGGTTACCAAGTTTAGAGTTACTATATTTATCACTGTGGGGGGAAAAACAAAGGTGTTTTTCTCACATAGGTGTTATAACCTCAAAAATTGTGTCATCTTTATTTTTTTAAGGTTTTATTTATTTAAGTAATCTCTACACCCAACGTGTAGTCATGACCCCAAGATCAAGAATCACTAGAGCTCCACCAACTGAGCCAGCCAGGCACCCCTGTGTCATTATCTTTAGATATCAGCATTGCAGAAGTCAATAAAGTTGCAAAACAATAGTCATTTTTATTTTATTTTTTTAAAGATTTTATTTATTTATTTATTTTTTAGAGAGCGAGCGAGAGAGAAACAGCATGAGAGGGAGGAGGGTCAGAGGGAGAAGCAGGCTCCCCGCTGAGCCGGGAGCCTGATGTGGGACTCGATCCCAGGACCCTGGGATCATGACCTGAGCTGAAGGCAGATGCTTAACCATCTGAGCCACCCAGGCACCCAACAATAGTCATTTTTTAAAAGATTTATTTATTTATTTTAGAGAGAGAGTGCACATGAGCAGAGTGGAGGGGCTGAGAGAGAGGGAGAGAAGCTGACTCCCCAGTGAGCCAGAGCCCCACTTGGGCTCCATCTCCTGACCCTGAGATCAATACCCTGAGGTCATCACCCCACGGAAATCAAGAGTTAGAGGCTTAACCAACTGAGCCACCCAGGAGCCCCTAAGATTTACTTTCTTAAGAACTTACAAATAGGGAATAAATATCATTAACTACAGTCACTGTGCTGTGCATTACACCCCCAGGACTTAACTTATTTTATAACTGGAAGTTTGTACCTTTTGACCCCCTTCACCTATTTTGCCCACCCCTCCCACTCCCCACCTCAGGCCAGCACCAATCTGTTCTCTATGAGCTTGGGTTTTTAAACATTTTTTGTTTGTTTAAAGATTTTATTGATTTATTTGAGAGGGAGAGAAAACACAAGCAGGGTAGGGGCAGAGGGAGAAGCAGACTCCCCGCTGAGCAGGAGCCTGATGCAGACTCAATCTCGGGACTCTGGGATCATGACCTGAATGAATATGGGGGTGCAGATATCTTTTTGAGTTAGTGTTTTCATTATCTTTTTTTTTCTTAAAGATTTTATTTATTTATTTGAGAGAGAGAGAATGAGAGAGAGCACATGAGAGGGGGGGAGGGTCAGAGGGAGAAGCAGACTCCCTGCCGAGCAGGGAGCCTGATGCGGGACTCGATCCCGGGACTCCAGGATCATGACCTGAGCCGAAGGCAGTCGCCCAACCAACTGAGCCACCCAGGCGCCCCATTATCTTTTTTTTTTTAAGATTTTATTTATTGGGGCAGATAAAACTGTAAAAATTTTTATTTTATTATTTTAATTATTTTATTGGGGATAAAAATCTTAAAAATAAAAATATTTTATTTATTTATTTGAGAGAGTGAGAGCGTGCACAAGTGGGGGAGGAACAGAGAGAGAGGGAGAAGCAGACTCCCTGCTGAGCAGGCAGCCTGACTTGGGGCTCTGTCCTAGGACCCCAGAATCATGACCTGAGCCGAAGGCAGACGCTTAACCAATTGAGCCACCCAGGCGTCCCATTATCTTTGGATAAATACCCAGAGGTGGAATTCCTGGATCAATGGTATTTCTATTTTTAATTTTTTGAGGAACCTCCATACTGTTTTCCACAGTAGCTGCACCAGTCTGCATTCCCACCAACAGTGCATGAGGGTTTCTTTTCTCCACATTCTCGCCAACACCTGTTGTTTCTTGTGTTGTTGATTTTGGTCATTCTGTCAAGTGTGAGGTGACATCTCATTGTGGTTTTGATCTGCATCCTGATGAGGAGTGATGGTGAGCATCTTTTCATGTGTCTGTTGGCCATCTGTCTTCTTTGGAAAAATGTCTATTCAGGTCCTGTATCCATTTTTTAATCAGATTGTTTTTTTGGAGAATGTTCTGATGCAAGTACATAGAATTAAGTTGGTCTGTTTACCTGCTCTAGTAAGTTTTACACGTTTGCATAACTTTGTTAGAACTG